AATTAGTAGCCTTATAAGTAAAGATCAGCACTTGACGTTGGTAGAATTCAAATGCAAAAAATGTTATGTTTGAACACACTGATAAAATTAGTGTAATTCTATATCGGTATCGGTATTTAAATGTTTATTCAAACTCTTCTCACGCTGTGTTATACGTTTCAAAACGTAACTAGGCCATTTTATTTTTATGAGCTGTTCCCATTTTCATCCAGGTCTGAATGAAATATGACAAAGATATCTGAACGCAATCAAACTCATTTTTTTTCGAAAATCTTTTTCGACATTACAACAAAGAAAAAACTGGGCTCGAAAGAAGGGAAAGTTTCCGTGCCAGAAAAAAAAAACATTGGTTTTTAAATATATTTGGAAAATATACTGGGCAAAATAAGTTAGGGGTCATATTTTTACACAAGAATAATTTTTTCATACCCATGAATTTATGTGACAACAAGGCTTAAGTAGTTTTAAAAACATGTCATTAACATGATTCGATACTTAAGTCATATGTGTTTATTGGGTTTTGTGACATATTGTTCAAAAAAGTACGTGGCGTTAAAAAAGTAAGTGGAACAATGGAAGTATAAAATTATCAAAGAGGGTTTTCTTTAGTGAACATAAGAAAATTTCAGTATATCTGGCCAGAACTAGTGATAAGACGCTATTAGGAGGCATATGAGTATGGACGAACACTCCATGGCAGCATGGATGCTGGAAAAACGCAACGTCACGTTGCAGAGAGACTTTATCTTTCCAAAAGCGGAAATAACGGTTATGGAACCGATATTTACAGGCAGAAAATTGTCAAAAAAGGCTAAAATCGGGACGTCCAAGGTGTACGACATGCAGTCCGTGAGAATCAGTATTTGGCCAATTTTGCTGAGACGCACCGCTTCCAAAGTGCTCTTAAGCTTAAAACTGGGCATTAGGGAGCAACGGACAGACAGATTTCTACTCAAACTGTTTAAAACAGACTTTAGGAAGCAAATCTCAAAGCTTGCCGACCAGCCGCACGTCCTGTATTAAAATTAGAGTGCCGCAGAAATCGACTACAGTGGGTAACAGAACACAAAAATTTGGCAATAACGTCATTGGTGTTCTGTTCTCTTCTCAGACGAGTCACGATTTTGTTTTGACATCCATGATGACAGAAGACTTGTTTGGATTGCAAATGGGGAAAGATATGCTGATTGTGTCATTTCTGAGCAATACAGATTAAATGGAGGTTTGATGATGATTTGGGCAGGCATAAGTATTGACTGCAGAACTGAGCTGCACATTTTGGAAGGCACATTACATAAACTGAAAGCATCTTAAGCAATACAGGAAGACTAAATAAAGACATGTAAATTTTAACTCTTTTCAGCACAATTTATTAGAGATATAGCTATATCTCTAATAATTTGTGCTGAAAAGAGTTAAAATTTACATGTCTTTATTTAGTCTTCCTGTATTGCTTAAGATTCTTTCAGTTTATGTAATGTGGCGCTCCTTTTAAAAGATATTAGTTTCTGAATACATATGGACTTGATAAAAAAGGCATAAAACCATGACGTTGGAGGAGGCCACGAAGCAGCGAGTAGCGATGAAATTTTGCTTTGCATTCAGAAAACGTCTTTAACAAAATAAACACATTTTGTATAAACAGGAAATGTATGAACATAAAGCCGTGTATTTGTATAAAATGGAAAATACAGTTTTTAAGTGGAAACGAGTTTGAATTGGACGATGGATGGTCTGCAAAGAAACATGTTATGTTTAAAAAGCTCGTCAAAAGAGTTAGGAACGTCATTAAATGGCATGTGTGCTTCACTGTTGCGGTACTAATAGTTATGCGGTAAAGAATTTGTTAACACTGAAAATCTAGTTCAAGGTATTTGCACAAACAGAACTCGGTTATAACGAAGTCACTAGGACCTATGAAATTACATCGCTATATCCCTAATTCGTTATAACCGTATAAGAAATTATTAAATTAATATAACTGGGGATCCAAGATGACTTCGCTATATCCGTGAATTCGCAATATCCGTGTTCGTACTAAACGAGTTTTACTGTATCAAGTGTGTTGGATAAGTTTTTATAAATGGAGAAGTTGCTATAAAACGTCTATGAAATCAAAAAGCAGAGCTCGAGTAATTTTCAGAAACATTCTCAACGGTTTTTTAAGATGTTAAAATGTTCATCAACCGTGCTTCGTCGTAACAAAACATGTTGCCTGAAAAATTTGCGAACATGAGTTCTATTTAATCAAACGGAATGAAACTTCACATTTCGACAAAATAAATGTTTTTATTTACGAAAATGTGCTGATCCCTAATATTGTAATAATAACATGACGATAAGGAATGCGAAAATTTACCTGTATATAGTACTGTAAAACGAGAATATGTGGCGCACTACTAATTTTAGCGCCTTTGGCGCAAGAGCCCCTGAGCGCTAAAATTTATTGTGCGCTAAAGGATTTCTAAATAACATTTTTGTGTGTGTTCAAAGCTTTAACATAAGTATTTGATAACTGTTTAACATGTGTGAAGTAAATTGAAATTAGCTGATATGAGTATTTCTCAGTGTCGATAATTCAAAAACTACAAGGGAAAAATCTTTAACAAATAGAAAATCAATGACGGAGTTGTGTATTGTTTTGAGCAGTGCCACACGTAAACTTATAAAAAATGTAAATTCCGCACTCAGGATCAAATTATTTTAGTAGGTCTGGCGAAAAAATGATTTAAAAAATCAAACTGTATAACTTTTTTCTTTATCTTCTCCCTTTTCAAAGTCACTTTAATATTTTAACATTATTTGACAATTTAAAGATCTTGAGGTCTACACCACATAGCAGTAGTTTAAGCATTTGTAAAGCCTTATACTCAATCTGTTTTTGTTTGAATTAAATTTATTCAAAAAACCAGTAATTACTTAAAGGATGAGTGCACTTAAGCTATGAGAATTGGATCCCGATGTTTTGCGAAAAATAAAATTCCATTTTTATGCTTTATAGGTAGTGAACAAAATCTTAAGAGAAGGTTTTGGTATATTATATTGCATTAAAGTATCAAATAATGCCGAGTGACACTAGCTTTTGAGACGGGGGTCTAACAATTTTATCACATTTCTATTGTCATTCATATGTATACCAGTTTTCAACGACATTGTTAACATCGAGCCGCAACTTTGCCATTGGTCTCCTTTGCTCAGAATGCGCCTTTTAAATTAAACGTATACATATCCAAAGGACAATATTGGCCAAGTTGCAGCTCATATCTAATTTAAAAAAATGTCCCCAAACTACGCTCGGGCTCGAGTTACCTACTTAATTAATAGGTCCTCAAGTGTCAACGATTGATAATATAATCAGTTTACTCCTGTGACATTCCACTTTTCGATACGCTAACTCTTTCATTGAACATTTCATTGTGTTTGTCATTGGAAGTTTCTTTTGTGCTTCTATCGTACTTCCAACCTCAAACTACGGAAGATGTTTGCACAAACTAAAATGGGATTTGAAGATTATATGTCTCTTATTTACTTTGTATTTTTTGTTAGGGGTGCTTTAAAAGAATTCTGATATTGATAATCAATGTTGTTAGTAAATATAGGCTTGTGTCGCCTCCGTATTTAGGTCTGTAGGGTGAGATATTTACCCTATTTCTATACACTAGAATCAATTATATTTTGTGCACCATGAAACCAAACAATCTCTCTCTTCTTCATTTAAATTCGTAGTGTATGATCTGATTGCGAAAAAACTTATTTCGTGGTAATGTTTACATTCCACATCCATGGGATTTAAATGTCTTCGCCTATTTGCGGATACCTCAAATTCGAAAGTGGTTCCGTTCAAATTTTCAGAATTTCATGCTTATACATGTTCTTTTCAATGACATTATCTGTTATTATAGAAATATTAATGACAAAAATTTCAGGGCATAAATACCAAAATTATATGCTTGCACAATAATCATAGATTAATTCAGCAATATAGTGTAATGTAAAGCTGAAAATGGGTAACCGAAAAGGTTAATTCCAAATGACGTACTCTAGTGCGCTCATTTTTATAAAAAAAATACAGATAGTTTGAAATTATCCAATGTTTGCTCTAAGAATACTATGAGAGCTACATTAACTCGATACCTTGAAGTACGAAACAGACACGAAAAGAGAAACAAGATATTTTTCCCAACTAATTTGACATTGATTCCATTAAAGAATAACATTTAAGTTAGAGACTGCATCGGAAAAGTCTTCCTCACAAAATTTGCAAACTTTTTAAAATGATAAATAAGCACTCGCTTATGAATCAATATCAAATTAAACATCATATTGTCAATTTTTTTTTTTTTTTTTGGGGGGGGGGGGGGTACCTGTCATGAAGAGAATATTGGAAATCGCAAAAATGCTTTTTCAAACATCGTCGTTTATAGACTTTATTAACTTAACAGTATGAAGCAATATTTCTCAAAAATATATTCTTTTTTGTTCAATTGACATGGAAGATTAGCCGTTCAATTGACATAAAAGATTAGCCAACTTTTACAATTTAATATAAAGGCAAATGAATTCTAATTTTTAGTCAATTTTCTAGCCTAAAATTGTAATTATTTTAAGAAGTCTTTGTCAGAGTATTTTAAAAATTTTTAATATGAAGAAGAACTTACCAAAATGATTGCAAAAAGTGATTTTAAAATTTACCTCTCTCCACAAACGAATGTTATTTGTCTTTACTTTTGTTTTACTTGCACAGGATTTGATTATTAAATGACTGTATCAGATTTACATTGTGAAAATCAAAAAATGTATCTTTCTATTTAAAACGATCATATTTGATAGAAGAAATGTAATCAAACACCAACCATTGAAAATATTCGTGAATAGTAAACAAATTATTAAGAATGGCAATGTACATCATTTTTATCATGGATTTCACACAATTAACACACAATTTTCAACAAATCTTTGACTCGGACACATTTATCAAGATATTATACTATATGCACAAATATTATTAATTGGGTTTTTTAATGACTCTCTAGCGCAAATTTAAAACGCCTAATAATAAAATTTGTTATATTAAACAATTCAGGTATACATGTGTTCTCGTTAAATCATTATATTCGGTTTTCTTTCACGCTAATCTCATTGTTTTTCTTCAACAGAGGCTCTTATTTATATCGATGAATTTTCTTGCAATATATTGCCAGTCTGTACTTGTGATAATTGCCTAAACGAAAAAAAAACATATTTTTTTTTTATAAATTATCAATCTGATGATACAATAAATGTTACAAAGTTTTCTTTACTTACAAACTGTCAATGGATGTTTTCAATGCGACGTTTCGCTCTCTTGTATCAACATTTAACTCAGAAGATAAGCTGTATTTCTGTTTATGTGACCGGCCTCTGAAAAGAAATTAAAAGCGTTATGAGTAAAAACATTTTTAAGGTATAAAATTAGACATTTATTGAATTCATTCATTATGTTTCATTTACTTACAAACATTTCCTCCAAATTACAGCAGACACTACAACAATACTAAGTAGAACAATGGATACCAAAACTCCAGTAATGATCAGAGTGGACGCTAAAAAAATATTATCGATTTTTACATAAAAAGAATAACAAGTTATCATGAAATATAATGTTCTTTAATAAATGATGATTTACTTTGACTTTTGGTTTCGAGTTTGACAGAGCATTCCGTCGCTATGCGCGACCCTCTTCCTGGAGTTGTCGTTTCATTTGGACATTCTTTACAAGAAAGCTGCCCCATTCGATCCTGGTATGTTCCAAAGTCACATTTCACACATTCGTTTTTCTTGTAATAGCGACCAGGAGCACATTGGACTAGAAAAAAGACACAATCGCTTTAATCTTAATCATTTTAAAGAGAAATAAGAGTATAAAAATATTAGAAAATCATAAGAAGCGAAGATATAAAATAACATACTGCAATAGAACTTGACTGGCACCATTCCAGTTGGACATGCTACATCACTTTCAGCTTGAGCACTGGTTGTGTTAATTTCATATATAATATCGTCTATATTAACATCAAGCGTGTGATTCATTGCCAATAATTGTAAGTCATTTACTGCAGTATATAGGCTTTGATAGCAGATTTCATTGCCGTCTGAAATTTTATTTTAAGAAAGTAATGGTCAATATCAAAAAGATTAAATAAACACTTAAAAAAAGGTTTCCCTTCTCCAAAAGGATCACAATATTAATATATATTAAAATAAATATTGCTTAAAGAACTCACGGATAGCAGGGTAACAAGACAAAGACACATCTACTCCTGCGGTGTTTGCAATGGTGGATCTCTTTTGTCGCTGATTACAGTTTGTGACAATAACCTGGTCTAGTTGACAAAGTCCGATAGAAATGCATTCAATATTGTTTATTGCAAGTTGAGCAGTTTCGGCGATTTCTCTGTGTACAGATGTGTATTTGTTCCCACCGTCACATTCTAATTGGTTGTATGACGCTTTATAGAATACCCGGAGAAGTTTACTCTCTTGAATTTCTAAAATGTGAACAGACATTTGCAATATAAGCCAAATATTGTAAGAAATAAAGAAACAGTTATCTATTCAAATGTTTTACAATCAACACGGTTTTCATTTGTATATATCAAGTTATCATGAATATATCCCTTATTTAACAATCCCAAGGTGAATACTGAAAACTCGGCAAGGTTTTAGGCACAAAGGAACATGAAAAAAATATGTAATTTTCTGACAAAGGTTTATGTCGCTATTTGCATTCTTATATGTACCTGAGCAATAAGGCATTTTCCCATCTGGGTTATCATCCGTCTGAAAATCCCAATGATAGAACGTATCTTTTCCACACAAGTAGTAAGGTTTTATTTCATGGTCAAAATCATATCCAGCGGCACATTCAATAGTACAGTTTATGTTCTGGCTGTCGTTATTACACGTCCATATTACGTTCTCAAGCCGTTCTAATGTACTACATTCTAGAATAATATTTAAAACGATATGAGTTTGTTATTTGAAGTCTTTTTTTCCTTTTTTTTTAAGAAGGACACGTTTTACCTTACCAGGACATTTTCTTTCATTACAACTCTTCTTTTCTGTGCTGCTATCGTGGCAATCCATTCCCCCATTATCAGGGACAGGATTGTTGCAAACTCTTGATCTCTGCTGGGTCCCATTCCCACAAGATACACTACATGATGACCAGAAACCCCATTCTCCCCATAATCCATCAACTATAAATAATTGCATCAGATATGGATGTATCTAGATACAGCAGACTGAAATATTTTGAGCACTTTACAATACCAAATTAAGGGTTTGTGTTCAATTACCAATTGCTATTTCACAAAGCTCTCCTTTATATCCCTTCTCACATTCACAGGTGTAATTTGCTGCACCATCTACACAAGTTGCGTTATTTTCGCATGCATGGTAGGCGCAGTCATCTATGTTTTCTTCACATCTGGCACCAGAAAAGCCGTAAATACACCGACATTCGTATCCATGGAGGAGATCGATACATTCACCATTCAAACATGGCTGAGATGCACAGTCATTCACATCTGGTATAATGATATATTTTAAGTATAACAGAAATTTTCTAGTTAAGTGAGTGAATGATTGTACAAAGATAAATTTTATAGATCCATGATTACGTTGTATAAAAGAGTTAGAATACGTTAGTTCTCTTACCATCACATTCACTTGGAGTTTGTTTAAAGACATTGTCGCTCATGGTAAATTCAAAGTCTTTCCAGTTCACTAGATCTCCAGTTTTAGCAAACTTACATTTTTGGATTGAGTTGAGTATCTTTTGGGAAAAGGTAGAATTGTCTTTCCAAATATTTAACCTTGAAAGTGTCCCCTTTCCTTTCAAAATATTTTTATTCAAATTAAAGCAGAGTGACAAAGGTTACAGTAAAATACCATGCTACAAATATATTTAGAACGTTTTGCTAAACATACCTTTAAAAGTCAATGTAATATTTTCAGAATAATTAAATGTAAAAATTTTCAATTCTGTTTCTAACTTCCCGTCCACATAAAGTTCTGTCAAATCATCATCTTGTTTTATTGCGTAGAAATGCCATCTTTCATCTTGAAGACTGATATTTGTCATTTTCATTTCTCTACATGTAAAAATTTTATTTTGATAAAAAATATTGTTTAAACAAAATAAGAAACTCTTATAAAGATACCAGTTATTAAGAATAAATAGAAATAATTATCTGTGAATACGATTCAAACTAATTAAATGTAAAATGAACAAGAGAATTCGATTCCTTTTTTAACTGACAACCTAGTCAAAAGATGCAATCCCAGAAAACTAGTGTACATGTAAGCATTCTTGATTTGTAATCGAATGAACATATGTTCGATCCGATGGAAAAAGCGGTGGTACTATTTAGAAGCCTCACTATTTAGAAAGACGACTTGATATGAAGCTGACAATGCTTTCATATCTATGTGAGTGAAATAAACATAAAAAGAAAAAAAAACAACAATATTAAAGCCATCAACCTGATTCCTTTGGAATGAATATCATAATTTGGGTAAAAAAAGAACCTTTTTCATCATTATTATATTCCTTGTTCGCTTTCTAAGGTCTATCAGAGAATATAAATGAAAAAAAGAGTAATAATTCAAAAAAAAATTATTCCTGACATTTTTGCTTCATTTTTGCATGAATGCTTCATAATTCTGAATAATAAATAAATATCATTAATGAATCAAATGCTGCCAAAAATTAAAGCATACTTAGTCTAGTATTAGATACTTACGAAGGATATGGAGAATAACGAACAGTATTCCATCTCAAAGTCAAATAAACAATACAAAATAGGAGCAAAGCAAGCACGGACCTCCGAAACATCAGAGATTGGATCAGGTACCATGGAGGAGTGAGTATCCCCTACTGATCGGTCACACCCGCCGTGTACTCCTTGTCATGATCGGGAAATAACGCAAAAAACCGTCGACAATTCAATGGACTAACAATTAATATGAAAAACGTGGGTCAGCATTTGACTCAATGATAAATTGTATTTGCTGCCAAGGTCATTTTAACTTACAAAATAATGTCTTTAAACGAGAAATCACTCGAGAATTTCCCCCATCAATTTATTCTTCATTCACATATACTGTTTGATTTGAAAGTATGGAGAAAATTACAGAAGATTGCACCGGTCACCGTAGCCTACTGGTATAGCGTTCGCTTCGTGATCGGGATCCCCGGGTTCGATTCTCATTCGAGGCGCCGTGTCAAACCTAAGACGTAAAGACAGGTAGTGATTGTTCTTTATCTCCGAGCGCTCGGCATTTGATGTGAAAGTCGCAGGTCTTTTAGATATGACCTTAAAAATGTAGGTCCCGTGTCACGGAAGAGGCTGGCACGATAAAGAACCCTCACTGCTCAATGGCACTGAGAACCGATAATAGGTTTGAATTTGAAGCCTTTCACCGGCATACGTTGACGTCTTCATGTGAGTTAAAAATTCTCGAGAAGGACGTTAAACGATATACAATCAATCAAAAGACTGAAGGAGTTGCAAAATATTTGAAATTGAATCAGTGTTTGATGTAGAAAAAAAAACAATGATGAGCGGCAAACACAGGACACACAGACAAAAAAACAACATGTAGTTTAACGAAAAAATCATACTTTTCATTCCCAATGATAATCTCAGAGCCAATGGCGATAAAAAATATTGTCATGTTTACATCGTCACTCTTCAAACCAAGGCGAAACTGGTCGCTATGGGAAATTTCTTTTTGTAAACAGAATGATATAAGGACGGCCTTGGGATTTTCAGCAATGAAGTTTATCGATGCTTCACTTTCAGCTTCCGTCAAGCGTAAATCGTAATCTAAAATAGAAAAGAAATCATTTAAATCTTCCAAAACAAAATTAAAATGTCGATTACGTTTAATGTTTTTTTATGTGATAATTTAATTTTGTTTTTTAACGTTTTCGAAATTCTTCATTACCTTGACAATGAGAAATACTGCTAGCACCCTCGTTTATAGTAGTCGTAGATCCTGGACAGCTTATACACTGTACAGAACCATAATCCGTGCTAAAGGTCCCAACTGCACAAAGAGAGCATGTAGGTGTTCCACTCACTGACCAAGATCCTGGACGACATCCGTCTACAAAATTATTATAATAAATTAACGCATGTATACATGTAGCTGCATATATTGTTTAAATTTTATCAAAGGTAAAATTGTTCCGAACCTTCACATTGCGATGAAAGTTTGCCACCTTTTGTCTTCGTTGTTTGACCCAATGGACATCGCAAGCAATGTGCTTGTCCAGTAGTTGGCTGATACGTACCACGAGGACACATTTCACAGGTTGCGTTTTGTTCATTAAAAAATGTGCCAGCTGCACATTCAACTAAAAGTTAACATATAGATACCATTGAAATTGTGGCTATCTCAAAAGACCCCCCTTTCAGCAACAAAAATAAAAATGTAAGGTAGCTGAAATGGTTTTATTTTGAAGAGGAACATTTGTGTACTATAACTAGATATGTAGTTTGAGTCTAAGAGGTAAAAAAAGTATGTACTCTCTGTAAAAATAGTTAATTTAAATAGGAAAATTTAAGAAGTTCATCCTCTATAAATTGTCGCATATCTTTAACAAAACCTGGAAGAAAATAAAAAATGATACGTGTTCAAAGCCATTTGGTAAAAACTAGACTTCTGGGGAAAGAAATTCTGTAAAGATTTTAATATTTTATTTTGAGGCTATTGTTGACCTCAACCCTTGAAAGTTGACATCAAGATCACAACACATGCACTGATCATTTAAACAATACAGCAAAGGAGAGAAGATATGCTCAGGAAAAGGATTTTTCATATCCTTCTGCTTTGAACTTTACCTTAGACCCAGTAACATGGTTTAAAATTACTGCACAATCTTTGCCTAAAGACATTCTGTGGTAGATGTTTCAACTAGATAGAGCCGAGGCGGGTGGAGACATGCTTCGGACAAGAGATCTCAGACGGGTAGACTGACGGAAGGAGGGCAGAATGGACCGACTGATCATTATATGCCGCCCACAGATCTTACAGGTTTGCTGTAATTTGCAATTGATTTGAAACATGCAATAATCGTTCATTCTACAATCTTTGAAATTTGTTTGTTTGTTTGTTGTTAAAAGATTTTGTAGCTTGTGAACGCGCCTCAAATTGTACGGCAGACAACTGCAAACTTTGACCTTTTCTTGGTACTCAAGATCAATTAACAGTGAGAGACAATTATTCGTGCTAACATCAACCTCCATTTCCATGGTCTCCCCATCCGAGGGACATGTCAGTATATTTCTCACTGACCAAAACCTTTTCTCTCTACAGTTTTGCAAGTTGTGCTAAATACAACTTATTTATTTGCCATGCGTGTCTCTTTGTCTCTTTCTCTCTCTTCCCGACCTTAATAAATATTCCTGAACACATAGATTTGTCGTCAAATTTACAAATATTTGCAGTACATATTGTCATAAGACAAATGTGCAAATGTATGACTGTAGATTATGTCGTTTGTTATGCAGGAAGAGGAAACAACTCGTCTCGGTATATATTGTCGACTGGAAACATCTGGATATAACGAACAGAATTCAGGATCAAAATTCAATAAAACAATACAACATAGGACATGGCATAGCAAGTACGGACATCCAAAACATTAGAGGTGGGTTAAGATGCTATAGAGGAGTGAACATCCCCTGCTAGCCAGTAACACCTGTTATGTGCTCCTTGTCATGGTCGGGAAATAAAAAAAAGCGTCATTGATAATTTTTTGCAGACAAGGTCCTTTCATCGACCATACATGTAGAACGTAGGAAATAAAATGGTGTTTTTAAACGAAACTGCTCAAATTGGTGTGTCAAAAACTTGTTTGTTCATAACCAACCTCGTTCCGAAAAAAGCAATCTTAAAAGCTTCTTAAATCTTGAAAAGTAAAGTTAAAATTAGTATTGAATACAATTACCACACGATGTAGTCCTGTAGGACGGTATTGTATTTTCTGGGCATTCCAAAACAACGTCAAAATTTTCTACATCTTTGGCCTCCATATAACCATGAATACTAGCATTAAAGTCCAATGTTCCTGCAAGCATAGCTTCGATAATCTTGCCAGTAATATCAGATTGGTGACGTCGAAACATTTTGAATGATTCAGTAAATATTGCATTATCAAATTCTGCAAAAATATCAATGTCAATCTGCAAATCCCCACCACTAGAACGCTTCCTTCGTACTTTTTGACCACAAATCACCTAAAATGTTAATAGGATATCAATAGTTTTACATTTTTGCATGAAATCTAAATAAAATGTATGGGTCCATTTAAGCTATGAAAGTTTGGAAGAAGTGCTTTAAGAAAAAAAAAATTAACGTTCTTTATCAGATTTGTTATTGCAATGTGTTAAGATCAGGGTATGATACATTATGTTAATTGTGAGTATTGATACCGTGCGATACTGGCTATGGGAGGAGGGTCTAACAGTTTTGTCCCATCTCTATTGTTATTCATATGGATACCATTTTCATTGTCTTAAATTACATCATGCTACAACTTGTCCAATCCTCTAATTTACAAAAATGTATTTTTAAACCTTAACATATCCAAATGACAATGTGGCTCATGTCTGATCTTTCGAAAATATCCAAACTACGGTCAAGTTAGTCACTAAATTATCAGGTGCGCTTAACCCGATTCATATTAAAATCACTCTGCACACGTGATATCTCACTGTTCGACATGCTTACACTGTTGGTCATTGAAAGTTTCTTTTGGGACAGTGTCTATAGCAACCTCCGACTTCAAACAAGAGTTTTACAAAACGTTATTATTGATTAAAGATGATGTATTCTTTTTTACTATACATTTTTGTTTGAATTTTGGTATTGTCAATCAGTGCAAATCAGGTGCATGATTGGTATATGTTTAAGTATAGGGACATGTCCCCTATGAATTATTGTATGCAGGGTGAGGCATCTACAGACATGACCGTCCCTTAAGACTAGAGTCATTTATTATTTGTGCACCATGAAACTACATGTACACCATCTCTCTCTCTCTCTCTCTCTCTCTCTCTCTCTCTCTCTCTCTCTCTCTCTCCATGAATTTAAATCCGTATTGTGGAATCGGAAATTGAAAAAAATAATGTGCAAATGTTAAAATTCCATATCCATACGATTTAAATGTCTTCGGAAATTTTCAAATGTAAACCTATAGGCTTTGAGACAATTATTTTAATCAAGAAAATAGAATAAGATTATTAAAATGTACTCGTGATAGAGTGCACTGACCCCTAATTCAAGAAGGATACAGAAGTGTAAGACTTTTCCGTAAAAGTAAACAAACAAGTTAATCGGATTAAGTACTATATAGCATACCAGGATGTTTATCTATCTACGGACATATATCCAGGAACAATAACTGAACATTATTAAAGTTTATATTAAAGTTATACTTACTTTTGCCTAATACAAGGACACTGACCACCAGTTTACAAAAACTTATGTTTAGATTATAAACTGTTTTGTCAAAATTCCAGGATTAAGACCCATTTATTGAATAACTTGTTTATCGTATATGCAAATGACTATTATGTATTGTACATTATAAATACTATCTACGACGATATGCGATTTGTCTTTGCTTTTCACCACTATATGATTCACGTTTGTTTTCTCTGCTAATTCCAAAACTGTTAAATAAATTCTAAAAAAGACAATTATTCTTTCTCATTGGTTCACAAAACCAAATTTGATGCCGTGACCAGGATGTGCGAGGTACTGGAAGATATCAAAGGTGAAAAGGAAAACTTAGCAAGGTAGGAGAAAATGGTGATGAAGTTAACGTCAGATTCCTTGTCTCATTTTTATGGATTTTGAAAATTGACTGAATTTGTCTCGAAGTTTCTACCTTAATTCGGACAATATTGCAACAATTGTCAAAGAAACATTGGATTTTATCGTGGACTGCATTTGAAGCATATTTTTATTATATGACGTTTGTACATTGTGTGATACCAAGGGCGGAGAAAACGTCTGATCCAGTGTTTTTGGGTCCGTCATATGTGTTTGTACTGATCCTGAATTAATTCGCTCAGAGATGTTTATGTTTTTAGTATATTACTGTGGAAATCACAAGAAGTCGTGGAAATGAAGAATACGACAGGTGATAACAGTAAATTAGATAATGTTTACAAATAAAAACGACGCTAGAAACTAATGATATAACTGATTGCTGTTGCAGTATTGTACGAATTTATCATTGCTTTTGTTAATTACAAATTCCGATCTACAAGAATATAAACTGTGAGACTGAACTTAAATAAGACGTACAAGGTATACTTATGACTTTTTACAAACACCAGAAATGTTTCCATTTCCTCAACTGGTAATGCGTAACAACTTGCATCACCATCAATCCTGCTTAAAGCAAGGAACCGAAAAGTACACATCCAATATGAGTGAAATAAAAGTGAACTTTTGTATATCCATAATTTAGTATAACTATAACTGTATAATCCACCGTATTCGTTTATCCTTTTGATACTATATAGTAGTGAAATAAAACTTGTACAAAAAGAAGAGAACCTTGAAACACTGTTTATATCCAATGACCATGATGGACGTATTGCGATTACTCATGTGAACCATTCGTGAGATTCTCGATTTTGCAAAGGATTTACATAATCTGTTTCCTATCACAGTCATGTGAACCAAGTCAAAATAATTCTCTTGTTTTAGTTCAGAAATTTCCTACCGAAATTTCTAATTACATGGGGTCAAATGTAAACCTATAGGCTTTGAGACAATTATTTAAATCAAGAAAATAGAATAAGATTATTAAAATGTATTCGTGATAGAGTGCACTGACCCCTAATTCAAGAAGGATACAGAAGTGTAAGACTTTTCCGTAAAAGTAAACAAACAAGTTAATCGGATTAAGGACTATATAGCATACCAGGATGTTTATCTATCTACGGACATATATCCAGGAACAATAACTGAACATTATTAAAGTTTATATTAAAGTTATACTTACTTTTGCCTAATACAAGGACACTGACCACCAGTTTACAAAAACTTATGCTTAGATTATAAACTGTTTTGTCAAAATTCCAGGATTAAGACCCATTTATTGAATAACTTGTTTATCGTATATGCAAATGTCTATTATGTATTGTACATTATAAATACTATTTACGGCGATCTTCGAAATAATCTTTGCTCTAGCTCACTTTCTCCCTCTTCTCTGGACCGCACTTCTCAGAGCAAGGCTCTTCGGAGCCTTGTTCTAGGAGGGACCGAGAGAAGCTATACGATTACGAGCCAATTTACAATCGAAATGATCTTTACTCTTAACCACTATACGATCATTGTTTGTATTCTTTGATAATTTCAAAACTGTTAAATAAATTCTAAGAAAAGAGAATTTTCCTTCTCATTGGTTCACACAAATGCTTCAAAATCGAGAGAGTGTTTAAGTTCAAATTTCAAAAAAGTGAGGCTGATACGAGTTCGTATTGATGATATTGTCTGTAATTATAGAAATATGTTTGACCAAAAATTGTAGTCATAAATATCAAAAGCATATAAAAGCACAATAATGAAGGATTAATTTAGCGATATATTGTAATTCAAAGCTTAAAATAGATAGCCAAAAAGGTTAAAAATGACGTCCTAAATTACACTCTTTCTATTTGTTTTAACAAGAAATGTAATCAGTTTGTTTTAATATCTATTACTGTGACTAAATGTGTTATGTTGTGTTAAACACTTACCCGAACATTTTCCGCTTTACAATCTTTAGCATGTATCAAACATGCATCTTTGTATAAGGACGATGACAACGTGGAAATGAATTTTCTCTTTATCTCCTCTTGAACAGTCAAATTTGTGCAGTCACCGGAAAAGTAATATGAGATTGACATTCGAAGAATCCCTCCTGTTCCTCCAAGTTTTCCATAAATTTTATCAGAAAACGTCACTCCATTATTTCTTTAATTATAAGTCTATATAACACACCATTACTTCTACTTACTTGCGCAATCCGGGAGAGGAAGTGATCCAGATGGTAGCCATTGTCCACTGGTGCCACAAACAAGCATATCAACAGGATTATAACCAATTTTGACGTCATAATCATCATTGCAAAGCATTTGGCAAAATTTGCCACCATACCAATAATCACAAGCAAGGGCGCCATTCTGAGGGACATTTGGTTCCTCATAACAATGCTGAGTAACTATATTGGGAAGAATCAAAGTATTGTGTTTAAAAATTACAACATTAGAGGTAGATTTCAATTTAGATTTTCGAAAATCTTTCGGTACCTTGGCAAAATGGCTGCCTGTCATTCCAAGTCCAGTAACCAAAGTTACCACTCTTGCTCTTTTCACAAACGACAATTCTTGATCCGTTGCGCACTGATCCAGGGTCACAGTTAAATTCGCACTGACTACCATATTTCGTCCCCCATGGACAAGTAACACTTAGAAAAGGCGTAGGATACACAGCAGGACATGTCAGTACTTTAATTTAAAAGATAACGCAATTTCAGAAAATTGTAATCATACATGTATGTGCATTGTCAGTATTGCAGTTTAAAGAAAATATCTGCTTAATATGTTTTTTTTTTCAATACAAGGCAAGGTACTTAGGAGTTTTTGATAAACAGAAGTGATTTAATTCTTCAGCATTTCAGTTACCCCTTAAGACGATGTGAGTCACACAGCTCGGAGCTTTGTTTCCAGCAGCATCAGTGGCTTTGTACACTATCTTGTAGTTTCCTGCTAACAGCTCGTCCCCTGGTGATACACTTCCCTCCTTCACAATACTAACACTTATATCATAGTTGTCTGAGGCGGTAGGCTCTTTCCATGTTACGACACCAGTTGTTGAGTTTCTGTCCGCAAAAGCATATATAGTGTGTAAACAACCAATCAATTTTGGGGGATCAACATCTGCAATGTAGATATTAAGTATAAAATAAATATAATACATTAAAATCTTGCTGAAAGAAAATGTTGGTTCTTTTTTGTTTATATTTATATATACCTTTGCAGGTTGGCTCCTCTCCCCTCCAAAACCCATAAGCTGTACAGATTCTAACACGTGACATTCCTGGAGTTATATCAAACCCGTTTGCGCAAGAATAAGTGCATATACTGCGAAAATTGTTACTATCTGTACAAGTATAATTGAGGATGCCTACAGCGGGTAAAAGTGTTGGACAAGTCCTCTCTATGGAATTAAAGACACGTGTGACAATGAATATTTATAATTTGTAGGAAACGTAATGCACCTGTATTCACTTTCATGCTTTCATACTTACTTTTGCAATGTGGAAAATTATAGTTCCAAAGTTTGTTTTCTAAGCATTCCAGATGCGAATTTCCCTCTAGACTAAATCCAGGGTAGCATCCAAAGAAACAAGTCGCTCCATATAGATACTCATCACTTGGATGACATATGATGTATCCATTGTTAATTTTATAAGGGGTCGGGCAACGTAAAACTATTCAAGAAATCAAAGTAAAACGTACAAAAAATCTCTAACATGAATATCGGTATATAAGATTATGATATAATTGCAATAGCTGTAATAAAATATTCCACACCCGTAACGGTAACTGTAAAGGTACATCGAGCCATATTTCCACTTTTATCCCTGGCATAATATCCGATAGTTGTAACTCCAGCACTAAAGTAGCTTCCGGATGCTTTACCCTCTCTTGTTGGCCTATGAATATATGATTTGCAGATCAATTTATTTATCTTTTCATCGAACAGGCGGTTTTCTATTCACAGTTTGTTTGATAAAGAAAGTTACTCCTTTAATGACCAAAGATTTTTACAGTAAAACGGGCTAAAATATCAACAAGAAATGAACACATTTATGGTTCTAAAACAAAAAGTACTATGTTTCGTAAGATTAAGATATTCAGTTTTATAAATTAATGTACATGTACATGTAAAAATAATTCTCGGCTAAATGGGTGACAAATAAGACTCATATTTTCTTAAATATGCGGCTACATGTTTTTCCTCTTTCTTTATCATGAACAAAATCTGTAAAGAACATAATTCGAGTTCAAAGGTTAATTTTACGTTACAAAACAGAAGCGGACTAAACATGGACCTCCAAAACATCAGAGGTGGGATCCGGTGCCATGAAGGAGAAATCATCCCTCACCGACCGGTCCTACCTACTGTGTGCTCCTCGATATAATCGGCAAATAACTGGACAAAAAAATCACGGACAACTCTTTTTTTAAACTGGTAGTAATGTGAGCAATGGGGTATTCAAATGATACCCCCAGCATTCCTTATGAATATAATGACAGTGTCCATATTCTATGAAAGTATCATCAAATTTCATTCAGTGGTATTCGATTGATTGATTGATTGATTGATTGTATACTGTTTAACGTCCCTCTCCAGAGTATTTCACTGATATGGAGACGTCAACATTGCCGGTAAAGGTCTTCAAATTTAGGCCTATGCTCGGCACTTACGGCCTTTGAGCAGGGAGGGATCTTTATCGTGCCACACCTGCTGTGACACGGGGCCTCGGTTTATGCAGGTGTGGCACGATAAAGATCGCAGTGGTATTAGAAGAGTTGTTGATAAAATCTTGGTGCCAACAAAGCGTAACAGGCGGACGCACAGACGGACCCTCGGACATCACTATTACTTTGTACCATCCAATTCTTCAAAGCAATTTATATAATGATCTCCTTTTGTAAATATTTTACTTACCGGTAATCAATGTATATAAATAAAGAAAATTATAACTTTTAAGAAGTACCCGTTTGCTCATACATCTTATCTTAGTTTTGAAGAATGAGTTAAATACATTTACTGTAAATGATGAAAGAAAATCTTTTATTGTAATAAATCTTTCTCCGTACCCCTTTAAACAAGGAATGTACAGTGCTATACTGACGTGATATGTCCGTCTCTATCATCGTGTGCTGTCGGTTCATGCCAGGATACAACTTTCCATGTTTGTAGTTTTTCAGCATTTACTTGTATGTTTTGAGGACATGTTAAGCTAGGCTGTGTATTGTCTCGAGGTCCTACACAGATAAAAAGAGTGTGAAACTTGTAATTCTCCAAATGATTTGTAAAGGTACCGGTCCTTTTTTATCAATAACATGATTCAATACTGCAAAGCAAAAATTGAAACTCTCAACCGTAAAAAATGGTTTAGTTATTATTGATATAAATACTGATACATATATTTGCAAAACATATCACATATTTAAGTTTCTTATTTTATACGTTTACTTTTCGTCCTTAAGGAGAAATGACTCTCTGTCGGTCGCCGTCCGTCGTGTGTTATACGTAAACCTTTGAACAACTTCAGCTTTATTATTCTCATGATCTATTTTCAGTCCATGTATTTTAAAGCAATAAGAAGAATTGTTGTAAAAATGTTTATTTTCATAAACCCTGTCCCAATGGGTCCTAGGTGTTGGAATTAAACTATAAAAGTAACTGCTTTCTGGAAAAAAAAAGTTCCATTTTAGATCTGAATATAAGCATAAACTGTTGACTAACCGGATAATCAATAAGCCATCACCATGTACCAATTTGTAAAAAAAAATATGTATAGAGGATATATTAGATCTTTTAAATATTTTCTCACAAAGCGCACAGGCAAAAAATACTGTCGTTAGGATTAGGCATAATTTATCCTTTAATGAAACTTGATATTTAAGCTCACCTTGGCTGAAACCTCAAGTGAGCTTTTATGACTACCAAATATCCATCCATCTATAAACTTTTCATATTTTCAACTTCTCAAGAACCACAGTTCCAATTTTAACCACCCTTATTACAAAGCATCATTAGGTTAAAAAAAAGAGTTTCAATTTTTTAAATCGAGCGCCATGTCCTTCCATAAGGGGAGATAATCAAGAAAAGAAAAAAAAATAGGATGATTCATTAAAACATTTCTTCTCAATAACAACTGGCCCACAAAAGCTAAATCCTATGTGGCAGCAGCCCTGGGAAGTGTAGATTCTAAATTATTCAGATCATGATCCCTGGGGATAGGACGGAGTCACAATAAGGAATCAATGTTTTACATGAGAATATATAGTAAAACTCTTCAAAATATCTTCTTCAGAAACACTGGAGCAAATATGTGAAATATATGCCAAAGTATCTTGGGGTAGTTTAGATTCTAAATTGTGCTCATCATAAACCACGGGAGTTGGGAGATGGCACAATCGGGGATCCAAGTTTTACATTGATATATACATGTATGGGACATGTCAAGAGTCACTGGACCAGAAAATATGAAACTTAAGTCAATTTAAGCATCATGAGCTACTTTGATTCAAAGTTGTCCAAATGAACACCTCCAGGGATCAATACAAATGGGTTAGGGCGGGATCAAAATAAGAAATCCAAGTTTTACATGGTAATATTTTGGAAAAGATATGTATGCCGTGTTAAACAGTATTTTTGCACAGCTGAAACCAAACCAAAATTTCTGAAGTATAATAAGCTATCAAAAATGAAGCACTCTTGCAAATTCGACGAAATGTTAAATATTAAACAAGAGGCCCATGGGCCACATCGCTCACCTGAGAAGCTTTGACCATTCCGTTCTTTACCAGATTTCCCCCTTGTAATACATATCGTGACCCCACCCTACCCCAATGATCATAATTTAGACAATTTGAAATCTACACTACCCCAGGATGCTTCCACATAAGTTTCAGCTTTTCAAAGATTGTCCAATATATTTCTATGTAAAACTTTGAATCCCCATTGTGGCCCCGCCCTACCCCCCCCCCCCCTCGGGTCATGATTTGAACAATTTAGAATCTACACTACCCCAGGATGCTTCCACATAAGCTTCAGCTTTTCTGGCCCAGTGGTTATTAAGAAGAAGATTTTTCCTATATACTTCTATGTAAAACTTTGATTCCCCATTGTGGCCCCGCCCAACCCCCGGGGGTCATGATTTGTACAATTTAGAATCTACACTACCCCAGGATGCTTCCACATAAGTCTCAGCTTTTCTGGCCCAGTGGTTCTTGAGAAGAAGATTTTTAAAGATTTTTCCTATATATTTCTATGTAAAATTTGGATTCCCCATTGTGGTCCCGCCCAACCCCCGGGGGTCATGATTTGAACAATTTAAAATCTACATTATCCCAGGATGCTTCCAAATAAGTTTCAGCTTTTTTGGCCCAGTGGTTCTTGAGAAGAAGATTTAAAGATTTTTCCTATATATTTCTATTTAAAACTTGGATTCCCCATTGTGGCCCCGTCCTACCCCCGGGGGGCATGATTTCAACAATTTAGAATCTACACTACCCCAGGATGCTTCCAAAAAAGTTTCAGCTTTTCTGGCTCAGTGGTTCTTGAGAAGAAGATTTTTTAATAAACCCACCCTATTTTTGTCTTTTCTTGATTATCTCCCCTTGTTAAGGGATTTGGCCCTTCATTTTAACAATTTAAATTCCCCGTCACCCAAGGATGCTTTGTACCAAGTTTGGTCAAAATTGGCCCAGTGGTTCTTGAGAAGAAGTCGAAAATGTGAAAAGTTTACGGAAGGACAGACGGACGGACGGACGACGGACACAATGTGATCAGAAAATCTCACTTGAGCCTTCGGCTCAGGTGAGCTAAAAAGTACTGATCGGGAAAATAATAGATATTCTCATGCATATATATAAAGGACTGACGTTTATGCTGGATCAGCGCATGTGCGCGGGAAAAGCATCGCGAGAATTATCAAAGCCTGTTAAGCAGAGTGAACGTTTGCGAGCGCTCGCCAAAAGTACTCTAGTACTATTGGAGATTTAAGGAATTTTGGCGAGCGCTCTCTTGAACAGGCCTCAGGTCGAGGAAACTATTTTTGTGACACCTGTTCACTGAGGAACCAACATGACTGAAAAATCGACTAATCAGCTAAATGAGTTGCATTTAATGCATTTCTGGGTTACTTCATAACATACTACATGTGTTTTTCGAAAGGGCTAATTTTTGTTTGTTTTTTTTTAAATCACTCTCGGAAAGACGTGATGCATTTTCCAAAGTACATGTATTAACACGCTTAATGCATTATGTGCATTATTATCTACTAATACTATGCTCACATTTGCATACAAATGATTAACAATGATAAAAATTAAGAGTTTTCCTCAGTCCATTGTACAGTAGCCTGGTTCCCTGTCCCTGTTTTGCTTCGTATACTCCGCGCCACCAGGGCCAGGTGGAGAACAATGGATTCAGGGCGAATATGCCTTGAATCTTATCCCATTGTTACGTCCAATATGGCTGCGCTTCCGGTGAAGACGTTCATTGTGACGTCGTATTTTTCGACGTCGTCGACGTAATGTGTCATTGTTACGTCGATATTTATTTCTGTGATTAACGGCAACGGCTCAAAAACCCACGATTTAGCGCGCATTGTTCTGACCAATCAAAGGAAGGCATAGTAATCCACCTGGCTCTCCTGCCTTGGCAAGGGTGAGCCAGGGGACCAGGCTAATTGTACACGTCCGTTTATTTACAGTTTATTTAGTTTAGTTTTATTTAGTTTTCCCGTGCAAAAGACAATTTCACGTGACTATTCCTCGATACAAAAAGCAACCAACTTTGAGGTGTGCTCACGTATTGACAATGTCTACAATGTGTACAACTTCGAAACATACAGTATGCTACTCAATACACGTTCTACGATCAATGCAAATGAGAATTAATATAGATGTTATTCTAAAAAAACATGCAACTTAAGTCTTTCTTTATAAATGCATAAACTTTAAATTTCTATGTGTAGTAATAACTGAGCAACGACTAATTCAACTTACATGGCGAATCTACCGTCTTATTTATTATTTACTTTATTATTTACAAAGATTTGTAAATTGGCTTTCCATCCGTCATTTGAAATAACATTCTAAATTTTCCTAACCCACGTGTTTGTGGTAAAAATGTAGTAGACCATCATGTTTTTCTGTTCATTCACGAGATTGGACCATTGTTTGCTGTGAGCATGCGAGACCACGTGATCCTGAATGTTTCAATAAGAGGCGGATTAATATCCGACTCGGAGAAAAAATAACTTTTACCAAATAATTTTAGATAACTTTTAAACGATTTGCATTAAGTATATAAATTACATAACTTGTTGAGACACCCCATACTCTTTTTAAATAAAACAAACACTATTACAGCATATATATCTTTAAAAATTATTCTTCTCAACACCAACATATATGTACACGTAAGAGGTGAAACGTATGTAAAAAGCATTATGGGAAATTCTAAATTGTAAAAATAAGGAGAAGGATCGGGCGAAGACACAATAGATATCACAGAGGAAAATTTGTTAAAGAACAAATTTACTCCGGTGAGCGATGTGGCCCATGGGCCTCTTGTTCTAACATATTCTCCTTTCTATCTGCATATTTAAAAGATGAACCAGGTGCCTAGCTAGAGCTTTTAAGAATAAGCTAAGATGCTTTAATTTTTCAAAATTTTGAAATTTGTTCCATAGATCAGGGGTTCTGGCACGGTGGGGCATTGATGAAATATTGTGAAGATGCCTAAATTCTGAAAAAAAATTGTTTTATTTTATACTTCTTTTAATTGGTTATACTTCGTGAATGACAAACAAAGTAACAAATTTCAAAAAGACTTGGAAATATAGAGAAGCGCCAGACTACGAATTCAAAAATGTGAAAAATATAGTCAAATGAAAAACAAGGAAATGTTGTCAGTCTTTGTTTGATTTTTAAGCTGACTTATTAAAAAGTCTCCACCTTTGTTGCAAAAAAGACGAACCATAATGGTAATATCAGAATTTTACTTCGAATTCTTTTCTTATCGTATCAGCGTATAGTTCATTTATGCTGCATGTTTTAAATTTGTATATGTAATGCTAAGTATATAAAAAATAAAGAAAAAAAAAATTTGAAAATATTTTTTTTAAATTTTGATGAAATATGGACTTACTAGAACGTCTCGAACATCCTCCAAACAAGCATTTGAATGATTTAACAATAAAGCCTAAGAAGCGTTTATGTCGTAAAAGACGACCGTTGCTAGAATCATTTGCTTTTGTAGAATCTGAAAACAATAAAACAAAATTATAAGAATATATTTAATTCAGTATATATAATGATTAAGCATTATGAACACTGCTTACATGTAAGGAATGAGTCATTCCACTGTCCCTCATCACATGTGACGCTCACTTTAGTTGCCTTATCTGAATTTATGATGTCACATAACGACCCATCCGGGACATAAGAGTCAAATGTCACAGGGATACTGTCTTTATCGTAACAACGGACAAGATTACCATTCTTCAGATCAGCAACATCACAAGCTGTATAATCTGGCTAAAAACAACAAATTTCAGAGGATAAATATTTTTATATTCACAACTTTTCCACTAGTAACAATAAATCCCGTAATGTGAAATGCCTTTCCGCAGCTTGTTCTTGTTGCTTTACCCACTAGAGAAAACATGAGAAATGAGTTGAGTGAAAACATGTCATTTATTAACTAGATAAATGACGCAAGTGAACAAAAGCACATAAATATACAATATTACATATAATCTTATAAATTATAGCTGGGATAAGGACAAATAATGAATAGTTTCAACTTAGATATAATATATTGCGACTTATTGCTTATCCCAGCTATTGTTATATAATGATGACCAAGTTTGTGTAACAAGAAGGTGGCGTAAAACAAGAGGCCACACAGCATGCCTAATGCTTGCATGAGGCATGCCGCGCCACCCAAGGAAAGGGCATTTCATAATTTTGTTATAGATTGAAAAAACATGTACCTGCATGGACTTACTTAACCCAAGCATAAGACCATATTTAATCATAATCATAAAGTTATATCTATAAGAGTAACATATTTAAAAGCAAAGTTTGCCAATTATATGAATGAAAAAAAGTTAAATTAGAAAAAGAAGGAGCAACTGCTGCCTCGTGAACAATATTTAAAAACAAAACTCAGTCTCATGACTGATTTTTGCAATCATTTTTACAACCAGGCTGACTTTATGTATAAGTTTCAAACAAAAACCTTGCTAAGCTCCAACTACCATGTACAGTTTTTTATAACCAACCATATGCTTATCTCATACACAAATTTATGCAAAAAAAACTTCTGCTGAGCTTGTAATTTTACTATAAATACATGCTGATCTCCAAATACAAGTCTCACGTACCCGTTCGAGGCTGAAATACCAGTTCACTTTATACAGTTTCTTTGTGGGCAATCGTACGCTGTCTCCATGTATATTAGCTCGCAATTTCGCTGACTTCACGCACAGTCTCAACACCCAATTTAAGGCTGAATTACAATTTCCATAAGCTATATGAGCAACCGTATGCTGACCTCCTGTAGATAGCTTGTACTTTGGGGGCAAAATTGGGGGGTAAATTGTGATCTCGTAAATGAGCTAACACTTTTCAAAATAATACCTGCCAAATTTCTAACCGAATTACTGTTTTATATAGGCAGCCATATGCTGACCTTAGTAATTCCAAATTTTAAAATTTTGTAATCTGTCTGAGCAACCATAGTCTGACCTCGTAATTAATTTATATGCTTAATTTTGGACTTGACGCTAAAAATTTTTAATCAGATCCTATTTACGTTCTGAAGAGAAAAAACCACACGCTAACTTCTCTTTTGATAGTCAGTGGCAGTACCTGTATGAGGGGATCATTTAGTTTGAAATTCTCATAAAGGGTTGAAATTTAGAACTTGAAAGCATTTATTCTAATGTAACGTCTGCTTGCATTTGAGTGCCAACGACCCAGTTGTTGAATTACATTTTCAGATAAACCGTTCTTAGCTGCCTCTGTGGCAGCACCAATGCGAAAACTATGACCGAGGTAAATTGATGAATTCAAACCAATAAAATTTATGGCATGTTTCAAATGAGATGTCACAAAGTTGTGCGGAACTGGTTCGCCAGATTTAAATGTGAATAAAGGACCTGATGTGTGTTTATGTTCAGCAATGTATGCTTTTAAGGCATGAACTGGACAGAATTGACATTTTAAATTATTAGCTGTCAGAGTAATTATTAATGGCTGCCTATCATTCATAGTTTTTGAATACCTGAATGTGATCTGAACTGAATTATCGTCATTGAACATTATGTCTTGTCTTTGAATTACTTTTGAGTTAAATGTTTTGTTTCTAGGAACGAGTTCACCTAACCGCATAAAGGCATGAAAGGCAAGAAGGAAAATTGCTGACAGCAGAGTTCTTGAGTCTGCTTCTTGAACAGTGTGATCTAAGGCAGATAATAATTTGATAAGAATGGGTTTTGTAATTGGAAGTCTAGTGTCAACAGTTCTTGCTAGGTTTTGGGCTCCTTTGATAACTTTTCTCACTATAAAAGAGTGGGTAGGGTCATGAAAGTCAAAAATCTTATGAACGAAACTAATTGCCGAAACATGTGAAGTGATGGTGGATGGGCTTAAACCCTCAGTGAATAATTCACCAATAAAATTGCAAATAATTCCTTCTGCAAATGGGAGAGAAAAGGGTATACTATGAGTGTCACAAAATTTCTTTAACAAATTCCAACTTCGAAGGTATAACTGCTTAGACGATAAAGACAGTGATGCCTGAAGTAACTGCCGACTTGGTTGGCTTAGATGTAAATCAAATGTTCTGGTACTGCTGTTGGCTTGAGGTCCAACCAAGGGGCAAATTTCTTGGCTTCCTGGAATTTAAAGCGGGAAAGGTAATCTGCAAGTACATTGTGTTTCCCTGGAATGTGTTTTGCTTTAAATAGTATGTTATATTTCATTGCTGCAACAACTAATCGGCGTACAAGTTTCATCAATATTTTGTCTCTGCATGACTGTTTATTAATAACCTCAACAACTGCTATATTATCAGTTAAAAAGAGAATTTTTTGATCGCTTAAATAAGGTCCCCAAATTTCTACCAACAGAACGATAGGAAACAGCTCTTTAACAGAAATGTGATAATCTGTATGAATATCTAGCCAAGCTTGTGCAAACCATTTTGAACCATATACAGCTGCATAACCCAAGGCACCAGATGCATCTGTATATATATGTAACTTCTGTGAAGACAACCACTCATCCTGATGAAATATTGACTTGCCGTTGAAATGATTGATAAAAAGTTGCCATGCTTTAATGTCCGCACGTTCGTCAGTAGTTAACTTTATATAATGATTTGGTTTGGACACACGACGAGTCAGATCTATTAACCGTCTCAAAAATGCACGACCAGGTGTGACTACTTGACAGGCAAAACTGAGAACACCTATCAAAGACTGCAACTCTCTTAACTGAATTTTTTTTCTATGGACTGTCTTTTCCAACAATTGTCTCATATTAGTGAGTTTGTCTTCTGGGAGTCTACTTTGCATGAGAACAGAATCTACCTCAATTCCATAAATGGTTAAACAAGTTGTTGGTAATACATTTTTGGATTCTTTAAGAGGGACTCCTACTCTCGAACATAAACTTTCAAAATTTCTAACATCAGAGAGACATTTTTGAGATAAAGCTGGTCCAATGAAGAAAAAATCATCAATAAGATGAGACATACCAGAGGCCTGATATTTATTTAACATAATCCATTGCAAAGCTGTGCTTAACCTCTCGAACAACTGACACGATGAACTGGCGCCCATTGGTAAACATTTATCATAATAATATTGATTGTTCCAAAGAAAACCTAAAAAATGATAGTCTGAAGGGTGTATTGGGATGTTTCTAAACCCATCTTCTATGTCTAACCTAGCCATAAGTGCCCCTTTCCCAAATTTCTTAACTAGCTGTATTACATTTTCAATAGAATCATAATGCACAACCGCATTTTCTCGCGAAATGTGTTCATTTACTGAATTACCCTCTGGAAAGGATAGATCGTGTATGATTCTAAATTCTCCGGGTAGCTTCTTAGGCATCAGCCCTAATGGCGAACAAATGAAATTTTCAAAGGGTTTAAGTACATGAGGACCTGAAATACGATTGAGCCCCAATTCCTTATTCAACTTATTGTTAACTACCAATGGACTTCTCCTAACAGATGAGTGATTGCTCTTAACAGAGGTTGGCAGAAATTCACTGCAGCCCAGTTTAAAACCAAATTTAAATCCATCAACAAGAAAATCAAGTAAGACCCTGTCATAACCTTGCAATTCCTGACAAAGAACTTCATGTTTTATTGTTGTTGGTATTGTTTGGTTTCCTGATAGGATTGTTTCGGACCCATTTGTTACATTTCTTTTTGGGATGCTGCTCGCCGCAGTGTTGGCAGATGTGCATGTATTTACATGGTGAGGTTTTACAAGGTTTACCGTTGTTGTAGCTGAAGCAGGCCAACTCCCACTGTTTTGTTTTTGACTGATTGAAAAGGTTCTGGGAGGAGCGAAATGAACGAGTTAAAGTGCAAGCTTTCACCATATATTCAGTAATGGGAAGTTGCCAAGGTATCTTTTTTGATTGTCGGAGTTTCCTAAAGTTTTCATCGTAGTATCTCCAGGCCCCATCCCCATTAGAACTCCCAATTTCCCTAACAGTGAAACAGTATTTTAGTAGACTGGCATGTTCTTGGGGAGACTTCTCGGTGTAAATTGACATGAATATCACAAATGCTGATGTCCACTGATGAAGTGACATCACTGACTGTTTTGTTGAATGAGGATTTAATTGAATAGCATTATTTTCTATTTGAATTGATATGTTTTGGTCTTTGTAATTTGGAAGTAGACATTTGAGGTCAATGAATTGATCATTCCAGATTTTATTTTTTATGCGAACTGGAACGTTAGCACCCAAAGGAATACCATTGTCAACTGATAATGGGGTAGAATGTGTGCTGTTACCATTTAATGTATCTGCCACTGACTCACCTGCACCTGAAAATAACTGTTGCAGGGTGTTTACCAAATTTAGACTACTTGGATCGCTAGAAGAGGTACTTGATGCAGAGGGTACAGCCTGTGAAGTAGAGGGAGTAGCCTGAGAAACGATATTATTTGAGGAAGCACTGCTTGGTGTCAAAGCCTGTTGTTGTCTAAGAATTGCTGCTGCAAGCTGGTCATAGTCAATTGGAGGGTTGTTTGTGCAGCTCGCTTGAGTAGCTGATGAACTGGCATCAACTGCGTTGCCCAATGCCGAGTCTACAGGGGGTGCCTGAGCTGGTTGGCTGCGTAGTTTCATCCTCTTTTTTGGTGGCATATTTTCTACAATAAGTCTGAGCAGTTGTAATTGCCATAGGTGTTAATATAATCATGATCAAAGTATTAATAATGTTAGTCATTCAGCTATAAGCACATGTTATGCACCAACATGTTACATATTTTCCATCTTTGTCATTTGTAAATGAATTGTTCATAAGGCATTTGAGCCAATCATATCACATAATAATTGTCAGCTTGAAAACAGGTCAGTATCCTGGTTAAATCAAAATTCATCATAGTTGCAGCTAATAAAAAGGAAAAACAAAAACAAAAAACCTGTGCTCATTCCACTAACAATGGAAATGCACTAGAAAAAACAAACCTAGCTGCATTTAACATCATAGTGACAATGACAGTCAACTCTCTTATGTTATAAATAAATAAATTCCTCCCGACCTTCATTATATATCGGGAAGGTAAAGAAAATTAAGCTGTCACCGTCATATGCATAAAAAAACATTGGAAGGCAACCACTTTATAAATAAATAAACAGATCTTCCCAACCTTCATTAGATATTGAGATGATTAAGAAAAACAAACTCCTTTTTTTAAATAAACAAACAGATCTTCCCAACCTTCATCAGATATTGGGAGGATTAAGAAAAACAAACTGGAGCCTTCATAAACATATGGTGGAATCATTGACGATTCCCAAGGAATCAACTGAAGATTCCCCAATTCTGACCGATACTGACACTGACCGCATGACAATAAATCAGGCGACATAATGTGCAGAAACATGTCGAGGTTTACATTGAAATTAAATAAGCATTCAAGCAATTGTCAATATCATATTTATATATTGAAAAATATAGCAGAAACATATTGCAAAATTTCCATCACATGCACAGTCATTTATCAACATATGTGCATGTTTTACTTATCCTTATTCTCCCACCCTGACAGATGGGAGGCATGGAGGACAGCACTCTTAATGCTCTGGAGGTATTTCCTCATGACCCGGTGATCGTGACTGCTGTCTTTGAGGTGGACCCCATCGCTGGCCAAGAATTTCATTTCTGGATCCCAGAAGCCGTGATGGTGCCAGAACAAAATGTTGCTGGTAGATCAGTGGCACTGATCATGCAGGAGTTTATTAGTGTCAATCACTTTAAAATTATAGTGGTCCCCTACTTTGGATGGATGTCTGCGTAATAACTGTCCAATTATTACAAAGGAAAATTTGTTAGTTAACAGTAAGAATTGCGCTAACGACATAATATTCCGAGCGACCTTGTTTGGTGTTGCTTGTGGATTTGACAAATCATTCCCGCCAATTTGCATAAAACAAATGGCGCCCTCAATACGTATGCCCTGAAAGTCCAGCAATTCTCGAGAGTTGGCTAGATCTTGTGTCTTGAGGCCGCCCCTGGCTCTAATTAACACTTTAAATTTATCTTTATATAGTCGTAAGTTATCAAAATCTGGTTCATTCTGCATCAAAATTCCGAGTCTCCTGATGAAGGAATGACCTATCACCACCACTGTGCGCGGTTTTGGATCATCAGTACTTGCCGCCTCCATGCCGACTTATACATTCAGACAATGAATCAAAGGTTCAAATAATTACGCACCTTAGATAGTGTCACAGCAAAATATAACTGTATATTAAATTGATGAAATCGATATCCTTGTGTTTCTGCTGTTTAAAAATTTAATCACAACCTCGTGTTTCCACAGTCAAATATAATGGCCGATCACGCTGAACCCGATCTTAGCAGGAGTTCGATCCCGATGTCAAAACAATAAGTCGAGAACAACTGTAATTTCATCTTTGTCAAACAATGTAAAAAAGATTGCATATAAAATATTTTATGGAGCATAAAATTTTATTCCTGTCAGCAGTCTGTCGGGGTTTTATGTGAATATATTAATTTTAAAGGAAAAACAATACCTTCAATCCATTACATTTTGAGACAGTGAGTGTACAAGAAATCCAAAATGCACTAATGAATGATACACAACTGCCGGCCACCATTATATCTCTGTACACTTCGCAAAAGCCTTTAACAGAAATGCATAAATAAAATTGTATTACATTTAAATTTCCCTGTCTTAACCGAGTAGGGTTTTTGTTATGAACGTTTTATGTTAGGTAAGTCATTTCTTGGCATGTTTAAATTGCTCAGTGATGCGGCAAAAAAAAAATGTTCGCCAAAATGTTATATATCTACGACGGCGTATTAGTGACATTTTGACAATGTAGATTTTTTTTTTAAATCGTTTGTACGATTTAGTAAATCGTTTGTACAATTTAGTAAATCGTTTGTACGATTTAGTAAATCGTTTGTACGATTCAATACATCGTTTGTACGATTTATTAAATCGTTTGTACGATTTAATAAATCGTTTGTTCGATTTAATAAATCGCTTGTACGATTTAATAAATCGTTTGTACGATTTAATAAATCGATTGTACAATTTAGTAAATCGTTTGTACAATTTAGTAAATCGTTTGTACAATTTAATAAATCGTTTGTACAATTTGTTTGTTAAATCGTTTGTACAATTTAATAAATTGTTTGTACGATTTAATAAATCGTTTGTACGATTTAATAAATCGTTTGTACGATTTAATAAATCGTTTGTACAATTTAGTAAATCGTTTGTACGATTTAATAAATCATTTGTACAATTTAGTAAATCGTTTGTACGATTTAATAAATTGTTTGTACAATTTAGTAAATCGTTTGTACAATTTAATAAATCGTTTGTACAATTTGTTTGTTAAATCGTTTGTACAATTTATTAAATCGTTTGTACGATTTAATAAATCGTTTGTACGATTTAATAAATCGTTTGTACAATTTAGTAAATCGTTTGTACAATTTAATAAATCGTACAAACGATTTATTAAATCGTACAAACGATTTATTAAATCGTACAAACGATTTATTAAATCGTACAAACGATTTATTAAATTGTACAAACGATTTATTAAATCGTAAAAACGATTTTAAAAAAAATTCTACATTGTTAAAATGGCACTAATACGCCGTCGTATATATCATATACAAAACAAATTCTCTTTACGGTATTCATCATGACTTATTAAAAGTTTGAAACATTCAAACTCAGACAACTGCATATATTTCCAAAAAACTACGAGCTTAAGGTTTGAAACATCCATCTTATATAAATAACGAGCAGTTATCAATCTAAAAAAAACTTGTTAACGAATGACGCATTGTCTGTCGCAAAAGGCCACAAGTTTGTTTTGTATCACGCACATACATTTTGTTCACATTAGTCTACCACAGCTGTGCATGTAGGGCAGTTGCCGCACCGGACCTAACATTTAAACGTAAGGTAAGATGACCATTCTTTTGTCAAACGTCTATTTGTTGTCATTAAGATTTAATTACTTCTTTCTGATGGCCTTGAGTTTCAAGGTAAAGAAGTGGAATTGTCATTAATATATTTCCTGAATGCACAGCTAAGGTTTAAATATGAAGCTCCTTTTCGGTGTCTTATTGTAGGACTTCTTAATAATTTTACTGTTTGTTTATTTGTTTGTTTGGTTTTTTTTGCAACTTGTTTAAAACATGGTTTAGGTTTATACGGTCTTTTCGACTCTTGAGCAAACGCACCAACCTCTGTGCCGCCCTTGATGGTGGAGTGGTTAGAATGTTACAATTCCTACTTAATAAGGAAATACTGACACTAAAGCATGAAGACCTTTGGGAAATTATTTACTCAAGAGCCACATCCTCTGTAGGAAGACAAATTAAGGTCTTCCGTTTCCAACGGAAGACCTTCTACTGATTCTGATGGTAAAGATTTTTTATTTCTTCTACTTCCTAGACTGCAACTTTGAGGCCTCATATCTCACTCATTTCTTAACGGATTTCGCTCAAATTTTTAGAGGTTATAGACGTTTATTAACTCTATCAGAATGCCGACTAAAATTTCAAAACGTCACTTCCGGTTTTGAGTTATTTCCCTTTAAACGAAAATTAATAGGCTTTCGTTTCCAGACAAAGGCTCAGAGACGGCTTATACTGGAGCAAAAATTCTACTGGTTTTATACATTAGAAGGATTGAAGTTGTGCACATCGGTTTTTGTTTTTCGATTTTTCTATTCAAAATGGCACTATAGAGGGGTAAAAAATCAAAACGCTTAAAAGAACCAAAAATTACTTATGTTTTGCTTTTTATCTTTTAAACTAAAAATATTAAAATATATACATTGTAGAATATAACTTGTGTAGGATTGGAAGATCTTTCAAATGATATGTCGGAAAAAGGGCTGACCCCTAACGTAAGGGATTTAGAGAGGCCAAAAGTTTTTTCCCAGGTATCTCAAAAAGTATTGAGAATTTGTTATACATCAAATAAGCAAAGTTGTTGTAAATGTCAAACTTAATCTAACAGAGTCGTCAAAATATGTCCAGCATCGTCACTTCCGGCCAAACCAGAAGTAGTCGGAAAATGCGTATTTTTGCGGTTATTGACAAGTTTTCGGGTAACACATGTCTCTGAGAGCTTAAAAATTTATTTTCCGTGCGTCGTCGTCACTTCCGGTCAAACCGGAAGTAGCAAAAAATGGCTTATTTTTGCATTAATTAACATAGCTTTAGAGGATTCAAAGCATTTTGGGCGTTATTTCTCATTTTTGTGAAAAATGAAAGCTACTTCCGGTCAAGCAGAACGGAAGACCAACTCGTTGCTTTGCAACGAGCTTTGCCCTAGTTCTACTTCTAGTTGTAGAGTCAGGACTACTCCTGGCACTTAGTCTTGCATTTCAAACATACAATCACTATTATAATAGAGATATATGTAATTGAGGTCTCTCTTTTCCAACGGAAGACCTTCTACTAATATTAATGATTAAGATTATTCTTATTATTCTGTTTAAGGTCTTCTGCTTCCAACGGAAGACCTTTTTGTTTTTGTTCGGTTTCTTTTTCCCTAGATAGGGTCTTCCGTCTTCAGCGGAAGACCCTTCTGTTATTATATTGTTTCATTTTCACTTTTCTTATTACCTATTCTTTTTTCCCTACCTATTTTATGCAAGAGATATTTCGAAGAGTGTTTATCAATTCGATTCAAGTTTTCAGAGTTTTTTTTTGTTTCCATCTGAAATTTGTACCGGCAATTCAATTAAAAAAAAACCCTCTATATTATGATTTTTATATAATAAAATACCGTAAATCTGGAAATTTTTACGTCGATTTTATTTTGTGAATTCGTTTGCTATCAATTGTGCAAATAGCTTGAACTAGTTTGCCATTGTTTTCAAATTCCTTAGGCCTACTGCGGAACCCTATTACTTCCGAAGCAGTTAAACGCACATCACGTTTAATGACGTTCATAACTCTTTTGACAAGATTTTCAACTATAACCTGTTTCTTTCCAGACCATCCATCGTCTGATTTAAACTCGATATCACTCAAAAATTGTATTTTCCATTTTATACAAATACACAGCTAATTTTCATACATTTTTTGGTATATACATCCCTGCTACGTGACGTCCTACAGCGTCATGGTTTTTTGCCTTTTTTTAATCAAGTTCATGTGTATTTAGAGACTGATACCTTTTAAACGGAACGATACATTACAGTACCTGATAGCATCCGAAGTAATACAGCCAAACTGAATTTAAACATGTAAATTTCATTATGATACGACTCCATTTATTCGATTTCTGGCTTTAGATACTATAAAGTGAAAATTAGTAAATTACTCAATTTTGACGTTGCTCCTTGACCTCATTTTTGCTGTTCTATATCCTTGATAATTTGTACAAATATAAAGAAATATTCTAATTTTTAAATTCAAATTATTCAAATTGGTTGTTTAAATATGTGTACCAAATGTGGATGTAATATGACGTTAAATAACAAAGTTACAACAAAAGTCTACGAACTTTTTGAATGACCCTCGTATAAAGAGGGGACACAAGGTGTCAGAATGCTAAGTCTTTATCGCTTCATATCTCGAACATGGGGAATATTTTGGTAAGTAAAAGTGAACAAAAGATGTTCAAAATAATGTTCTGAAAATGTGCAACCTTTCATTTTTTGCTAAACCTTACCATTAAAGAGCTGAGAGATTGGTCCCTAAATATTTCTTTCACTAGAATCTCTGAAAGGAAAAGGAATCTCTGAATACCTGAACAGAAAAAAAATCATAATTATAGGCGCTTTTTTGATAATATCAAGATAAAAGAGATGAATCCAAAAATTATGGACTGAGGAGGGTGAAAATTTTTATCAACAACGCGTTAATGATAGACATTTTTGTACAGTTGTTTGACTAGTTTCGATAAGAAACCGATTGGGCTGTGCAATAAATATACGAGGAATATTTCTTCTAAAAGTAAACTCTCAAGGCTGTTCAATGACTTGTGAGATTAAATATTGTTTCATAAAAGTTCAGCCCCGCCCCTTTTTCTGCATGCTTAAGAAAAGTTAAGATAATTGCTTACAAACAAGTTATTTGTATTTCCAAAGGATAACTTTAATGATCACTTTAATGATACCCACACCTACTATATGATTATTATGACAAAGTCAGGTTTCTCATGGGAGACCCAAATCAAAAAGTTAAATAAGAGGTTACAAAGGCATAATGTAATAAAAAACCATTGAATTTATCATTCAATTTTATTCAAATTCTATAATTTTATAGCAGGCATTGCGAATAAGAGATCCTTCAATATTAGAAAGAATGAAAGTTGTCAAGTATTATGAGAGTATTTCAGTATTCAAGGGAGTTATGTCCAAGACACAATGTAGTTAAGACATCGACACATTACTTTTTTTATAATTTACTTTAAAATTTCTCCATCTTTGTGTGTTTATTACAATACTTTCTGTTTTAAGACGATTTCCTTGCTGTTAATATCCTCGATATCGTGCCGATATCGAATCATGGTTGTTCCAAGAATTGTGGTTTCAATCCTTAATATGGTTTTTTTAACAACTGTTACTTAAAACTTTCTAAAAATATCGCTTCGATATCGAATCATGTTTGCTCAGCCCTTGGTAAATACCTTCCCCTTACTTTGAATGTGATTATGTTAAATTACTTTACTTTTACGAAAATGTTATTTG